TTCCAGGTACTTCATGGTGGGCAGAACAGTTTCTGCCCTTAGCCTTGGTGCATCGTGAATTCCATCCTCTGCTTACCATGAAAATCAGCCCCACACAACCTGCCAGGGTCCCCCAGGGGACTCCAAGAAGTCCTGTTAGGCATCCCCAGCTCCCAGTGATCGCTAGGAGAGCCCCCCACAGGTGCTCCAGGATCAGCTGGCACCTGGATCCGTGGCGGCAGCAGGCCCTCCATGGCTGCAGGGTCTCCACAGCTCTGCCTCCGAGTGCCAGTGTCTGTGGTCAGAAGCAACCACTCAGGACCCTGCAGTTTCATCGCTAAGGTCAACAAGGGCCCTACCAACAGGGCAGGTCAGTTAGATGGGGGAGGGGCGGCCCACCAGGTTCTAGAGCACTGCTCTCCCTACCTGCTCTGATGGAGGAAGTAATGTCACCTGTGCAGGCACGTGGGGCAGGAAAGAAAGGCCTTTCCCAGCCAGAGCTCTGACACTCTAGGCCCACCTGGCCCTGCAGCCAACCTGGGTGACAACACAGGGCCAGGCCTGGCCTCTCTCTGTGTATGAGGGCCAGTCAGGACAGAGCTGCTGGGACCCATCCCGGCTGAGGCCCCATCTTCTGATTTAACATTTTCTTCTGCTGTAGAGAAGTCCACTGCTGCCCACCAGGGCCTGGGTGTGTCCCTCCTCTGAGGCTCCCTCTCTCCTTGTGTTTTTGTCCCTGTGGATGTTGTGTGAACATGTTTCTAGACCCTGCTTTACAGGATCCTAGAAACATGATTGGGGCATGATTTCTTGTTCATAAAGTAACTTCAGAATCTTTGCAGGCAACCAGATTGTTAAGCAATGCAATCACACTTTGCATGATGTTACCCAGAATGTTCTCCTGATATTCCAGAATTACTTCAAAAATGAGTGGGACCAGTTTGCTGTCCTCCACAAGTCTCTAAAGAAAGTTGATGTAGCTCAAATCACAGGGAATTTTCAGGCAATGAGTCTCAAATCATCATAGTAGACTGGTAAAAGTTGGGTTGTGTTCAGTCATTGCAACTAGAAGTTTCAGAGCATATGCTGGTACTGGGTCAGGCTCTGTGGGATGTGCTCTTGCTGGGAAAGTACGACATCTCCAATGAGAGCCAGAAGATTGCTGTCAGAATCAGCCTCCACCTCCCTCTTGCCATCCTCCACATCCTGGTTCACAAGTAGAGATGTGGTTTCTGAGAGCAACTGCAAGCTGAAGAGTCTCCCTTGGAACCAAGGAGACTAAGGGTGGCAGGATATAATCAACAACTGTAGAGCAGTAGTCTTTCAATAAAATAGGATACTGTATTATTGCTTCCAAAGTTGACAATGTGATCTCGATAAATTCTTCCGATGCCATGAGTCCTGTGGCTCCATCTATGTTAGTTTCTCCTATATCTACTGATTTACTATGACTCTGGAGTTGAAAATGGGTCTGCTATGGTCCAGTGGTTTTTCTTAAAATACCTTTAAAAGAGGAGAAAATCTTCAAGACATATGCTCTCTGAAAACAGCATACAGGATACCTTCAATTGTTTTTTTCAGTCTATGAAAGAATAGTTCCATAACTAAAAAGGAACTCTTCTGTTACAACTTGAGGTCGAAATACCTGAGAACTTACGAGGTGAAGCACTATAGGCTTCAGGGGTAGACACGTTTTTAGCTGATTCACTTGAACTCTGGTGTTTACGACCAGAAACATTGGCCAAGGCATTAAGAATGTCACCCAGGCTGCACGGCAACTCCTGCACGAGGAGGCGGACAAGAGCCCGGCATTTGGGCAGGTACTCACTGCCGCTTCGCCGCTCCTTGCCTGGAGCCGTCTTTCTGCTGTCTCTCTCCATGTACATCACCAGTCTTATCTCCTCATAGGCCTGAGTGTCAGACTCTATACCTGGAAACTGGAAGGATACCTTGAGGCCTAGGGCTAGACTTATCCAGACAGGATTTCCATTTGCTTCAAGAAGGCAGCAAGGCTATCAATAAATCTGGATCACCTTAGTCCAATCAGAGACTGAGAAGACTCAAAAGTGGGCTTCTTTCCTCTACTGGGAGAAATAAAAGATGGATGGCACCCATAACAATATAAGACGGCTCCAGAATGACGCTCCCTTCCTACGTGCCTCCCCAGTGCCTTCCCACTACAGGCTACAGCAGAATAAATTGACTTTACTGACAAGGGAACACTGGTGATTAGAAGTATTCACAAGCTTGAAGATTCCTCTGGGGCATGCCATCAAACATGTTAAGATAAGCCTTGCTTGGCAGCTGAGCAGCAGCATCTCATGGTTATGAATCAAAACATATAAAAGAACCAGGAATGCTTTTGCTCTAATGCAGGTTGAAGGGCTGTCAAGTAAGCAGGTAACTGTAGAGACAAACTCCTTTTCTTGGATTAGTCTCTGAAGATGAATCCCAGAAGACAGCACAGCAGTGAATAAGGTCAGCATGTACTGCTGAGCTTTACAGATGGCAGAGGCCAGGGAGCTGGTGACCGAGTCAGTCCCACCTTCTAATAACATTCTGGAAGGCGGTAGGAGAATGGCTAGTGATTCTACACAAAGCTGATATCGCTGTTACCCTAAGAGATTCAGCAGTGGAGTGTTTGAATAGGTACCATAACACAGGTCCAGTTTCTCCAGTAATAAAGCCCTGGGCCTGAGCAGAATGGGTAGTACAGACATTTTCAATAATCTCTACTGCCATGTGATTCACATGATTGTCCTTTTCCCAAAGGCACCTCACCCAACACCGTGCGCACAGCCAAGGGAACAGCGCCGCATTCTCCGGGGGGCTTTTTTGCTTCTTCCTGGGTGGCTACAAGATAGATCAGCTCCCCAAGGGCTGGTAAAAGGCACTGTTTTAATTTGCTGTTCCTGAAGTTTTCCCTAATTAATTCAGTTAAGACAGTAATTGCTGGCGGGAGGAAGAGAATCAGAGCCGCCACGTTCTTCTATGAGAAGACTCCATATATTAAGACGTCACTTTTCTCCAATATAAATTTATAAATTTAATGTCATCCCAACCAAAATCCCAAAGCACTTTTTTTTTTTTTTTTGCACCTTGACAAAAATGACCCTCAAGCTCATCTGGAATGATAAATGAATAAAAATAGCCAATAAAACTATGAAAAAGAATGAGGGGGGATTTGTATGACCAGATATTAAAAATATATTATAAAATCAACAAAAGCTAAATCAAGACTGTCCTGACACATGAGTAGTCAGACAGACAGACCGATACATATGAAGAAGAAAACCAGAAGCCAAGTTCAAGTGTATATATTTACTAAGTAATTTACTAATTTAAAAAAGATTTCAAATTAAAGAGATTATAGTGAAGGTTAAGGTAAATGATAAACCATTTTGGAAAAAAAAAACATTAGAACTCAGCAAAGCACTTATTATGGAATGAATAAACAATAAAAGGAATAAAAAGAATGCCAACCTCATACTGTAACACATTCAATATTCCCCTGGATTCAAGAGGTAGGTATTAATAAACAAAAAAATCTACTAGAAAGTACAAGAGAATGACGATCTGACACTACACTGGAAAGGGTATTGCAAAATATGTAAGCTAGAAACCATAAAAGAAAGGAATAACAGATTTGAGTACATAAGAATGTGAACATGGCAAAAAGTTTCTAAAAACAAAAGGAATAAAACAATAAACTGGGAAAAATATTTGTATTATATTATATTATATTATATATAACATAAGGTAATTAAAGTTCTTTAAAATCAACTAGAGAAAAACACCAACTTTCACTTTCAAATGGACAAAGGACATCAACAAGGCCAATCACAAAAGAAGCAACACATATAAAATTTGGTGAGATAAATTCTACCGCTAATGATCAAGAAACAGTAAAATAAAAAGAAAATTACCAGTGAAAGCTTCAAAATGATAGCAGCTAATCTTGACTATGGTATGGAAAATTAAGACACTTCTATTGAAAACTGGTTGGAAGGTAAACTAGTAAAAACTTAACAGAAATTTGGCAAAACCATATGTAAACCCTTAAAAGTATGCACATATTATAGTAGCTAACCTCAGAAAGCAATCAGGATGTTCTGACATTTTTATTTATTTACCTAGGCCTTGTTTATGGTAACAGCAGCCATCAAGTTTATGTAGTGACAAGGATAATCATATATAAGTGTCTTTAGAAGAAGTGAGGAACAGAATTGGAACTGAAAACTCGGGAGAAATGGAGGCAATGTGAGGATGCACCTGTCTTTTTCATGTGTCATGTCACTAGTCAGCCATGTGCTCTCTCCCTCCTCCTCCTCCAAGTTGGTGTCTTCAACATGCTCAGCAACGCTGCTGCTCCCTTACACCTTTTGCAGATGACTTAAGCTTGCTATGACCTTCTAGCCCTGCTCCTACCTCATGGCACCTCTAAAAGAAGTCTTACAGCTTCTGCCATACTCCTAATTATCTTTCTTTAATTATATATTCCCCCAAAAAAGGAATTTGGCTGGGCTCTTCTTCTCATATGGAATCACTGGTAATAAATCAGGGGTTCATATCTGATCCAAACAGCTGTGGTCAAGGTAGCAGGGAACATGGGCAAGACAAATACTATGGCATTTCTAGCACAGAAACACACATGCATGTACATGCGCGCGCACACACACACACACACACACACACACACACACACACACACACACCCAAAACCCTGGAAATCACCTAAATGTCCCAGTAATAGCAGACTGACAAATAAATTATAGCCCACTGATAGGGGAAGGCGATATACACAGTATGTTGCAACAGAGAAAACACAGGTTATAATATATGACCCCATTTGGACAGTAGAATAGCTATTCTTAATTTGGTTCTTAGTAGCTTTGTATTTTCTAAAATCTCTACAATAAATAGATTTCTTTGAAAATCAGAAAAGAACAAGCACTCACTCTGTTTAACAATTTTCAAATTTTTTACAGTTTTACTTTTTAAGTAGAAAACATTTTAATTACCTTTCCGTCATCACATCTTGTGCCTTCGTTTACCATCCCAGGATCTGGGACATCTGATCCGAGCTGGAAATCCACACCCCAACATTTGGTGCCTCTACCAGGACTCTGAATAATAGCAGGCACAATTCCAAATACAGGCATGTCTTGTACGTTCTCACATTGAAGCTTTCCACACAGAGCATTTCTATAAAGATAGAAAAATAATGCAAACATAAAATGCAGCCAGTGTAGATACAGAAGAAAAATTGTATATGTGTATATAGACAGAGAGTTCGCTGCTATTTAGCTGAAGGGATTCTCAACAGAGGAAGCATACGAGAGCAAGAGAGATCAAAGCAGCTCTCTTTGAATATGGCAGAGGAGGAAAGACAAGTGAATGCTAGGGTACAAATGAGTAGGTGCTGCTAAAGCACCCTTTTCTCCCCCACCTGATCCCTCTTCACCATCTGTCTAGGGCTCAGAAAAGTCTAGCTATAAAATTAATTATAAATATGATATAATTTTATAAATGCTTTTACACAGAAAATATTAGAACTATACCAAAACTCAATTGCCTCTTCTTACAGAGTTACGGGAAGGAAAAAATTAGATTCTATATTGTAAAATAACTAAGAAAGGACTCCACCCTTCTAAGCTTGGCTAACTCTTAGCTACTTAAAGACTCAATTTATTAATTCACCAATTCACTAATTTAATTCATTAATTCAGTATTAGAATTCTATGAAGGCTTCCAAGACAAAGAACAAAATGGAGCTCTCTTTCCTTTATTCTAGATACTGTGCATCTATTAAGCCCAAGATTATGGTAGCTCGGACAGTAACTACATTACATTACTGATGCCCTTGAACTTCTCATGATCTAAAACCCTAGTTACTTTTTGCATATGCTATTAAGTGTCCTCTTCCCTCCATTTGCACTTAAGAGTTAGTCATTTTTTCTCAACTTTGTATTTACTTTTATGTTGTCATTTTTTTACTTGGTAACCTCAGTATTTAAACTTTCTGAGCTTCCGTTTGTTCATCTCAAAAACAAGAGATAAATAATTCTGTCTCATTTATAAGAGATAAGTAATGCCTATCTCACATAGCTGGTTGAAATCAGATATGGAAATCTCTAAAACAAAGCACAGCATAAGGAGGACCTCAGTTACCAGCTGTAGGAACCTACCAAAACTCATATTGCTATGATACAGTCTGTGCTTCATGGTAGTCTTGGTGACATATTAAAGAGTTAAAAAGAGAAGAGTCTTTATAAAAAGATACCGCAAATCTCACAGAGAAGACAAGTAGTGATTCTATGGCATCTTACTACGCTGATGGACAGTGACTGTACTAGGGTATGTGGTGGGGACTTGGTGATGGGGGGAGTCTAGTAACCATAATGTTGCTCATGTAATTGTACATTAATGATACCAAAATTTAAAAAAATGTTTTTTAAGATACTGCAAATCAATAAGAAAAGGATAACCACTTCAAAAAAAAAAAAAGCAAAGATGCAAATGGAAAAATCACAAAATCAGACATGCAAACAGCCAACAAAGCTAATAAATGTTCATTGTTAAATTAGTGGGGGCGGGGTAGCTACTGCAATCCTCAATAGAAAAATTACTTCAGGCAAGGGTCATCAATGCATGCTAAAGCCATGAGGTGAAACACCGGCGGGGAACTGGATATTCTTATGCACAAAGTCACTGCATAACTGAAATACCAAGACCTGTTCATGACCACTTAGTACCACTGATAACAACACAACCCAGAGTCATGTGCCTCCTTCATATAACACTTATGAAGTATTGTTCCCCAAAGTGTTTAACCTGAATCTAATTAAGGCTTTGGATTTAACTTCTGATGTATAGAAAATTCAGGGCACAGAGAGATTTTGTAAAATAAGGGTGATCACAAAGATACAGAGGATGATGCTGACCACGAGGAGCCTTGCGACAAACTAGGCACTCTTCTCAGGGGCAACATGCACCAACTCATTCAGTCTTTGAAGTAACACTTGAAATAAGCACCATTATCATCCCCATTTTAAAGAAGAGAAACAAGAGGTATGGAAGTGAAGCAACTTGTCCAAAGTCTCAGAGACCTTAAGTGGTTGCAGCAGAATTCAAACCCAGAGTCTAACTTCAAACTTGTATCCCTAATGACCACATGACATTATCTTTATATTACTATTAAAAATGCTTTTCGTATCGCTACTCAGTTATTTATAAGTTTCATAAGTGTGGTTTCTATATTTTCATCAATAGTCATAAAAATATGGAAATAGGACCAGGCTAAACACAAGGGCTAGGCCCGTCTAGGAAGCTCCCTCCAAGTCTGCATTAACCCACTTATCCCAAAGGTTTAACTCAGTTCATTCAATTACACTATTTCTCCACTCATTACTAGAGATTTTAAAATACCTCTCTCAGAAATTAAGGTACAGATAAAATTTGCACATACAACCCAAAGATACAGATTTGAATAAGACTATTAACTTGACATCTATAAAGTAACACATCCAACAACTTCAAAGTACACTCTTTTTTTTTTTCAATTTCACCTGGAACATTCACCAAAATAGACCATATGGCTGGGCAATAATTCACTTCTCAATAAATCGCAAAGAACTGAAATCATACAGAGTATGTTTTCAATGGAATTAAACCAGAAATCAAAAACTAACTGATAACCAGAGTATTTCCAAATACTTGGAAATTAAGTAATACATGTTAAAAAACCCATGATCCAAAGAAGAAATCACAGTATAAATTATAAAATATGATGAACTGACAATAAGGAAAACACAACATACCAAATTCAGTGAAAAAGAAGCATACAACCTCTCTAGCAGCTCACCCTTCCTTTAACCTTCAAGTTGCTACTTTCTTCATTTTGATTTAGTCTAATAATGTTAGCCAACATGAGTCCAATCTCCCCAAAGTAAGGACAGAATCCTCCTTGGTCTTTTCTGAACACTATAAAAGAATCATGAAAATGCTATGCCTAGAACTAGTTTTGTATTTGACCTTCTTTTTATCTGGAAAATTACCCATTTACCTATCTTATTCCAAGACAGTATCATTTTTAAATGACTATTTCTGCTAAGGCAGTGATGGGCATTAACTCTCCCCATGGAATTTAAATATAACTAAAAATTTAATAGGAATAATAGTTGACTTCCCCAGAAAAACAGTTCTATATAAATGCAAGATAACTTACATCTGCAACTACTTTTAAGAGAAGATAGAGTGTCAAACAGCTCCTTTTGAAATGCTTTCTGGTTTGTTTAATTTTCCCTTAACCTACTCAGTTTTATATATCAAGAAAGGAATATTCTGAATATTCTGTAAAATCTACCTTGTGTAGATAACTAATTTTTAAAGAATTAGGACAAAATTAATGGGCCAACATAAAAAAAAAAAAAGCAGAGCATTGAGAACACCTACAAGAGGGATGTCTGACCCTGTTGAGGAAGTCGAGGAAGCCTTCCTTACAGAAGTCAGAAGTCATCCTTGAAATGAGATCTGGAAGGGAGACAAGAGCACACCAGGCAGAAGAACAGCATGTGCAGAGGCCCTGTGGCAGAGGGCCACATGCAGGCCAGGATAGCTGAAGCATTTCATGGCATTTAATGTCTGGATAGAGAAAGATGAGCCTACAAATAAACACATTAAAGGAATATCTAGAAACAAAAAAATATAGATGAACACTCTACATAAAGCCAAGGAATGAGGTTTCTTCAAGAAGAAAATGGTCAACACAGTTGAATGTTACTGACAGGTCAAGTAGCATGAAGACCTAAAAATATGTTGGATTTAGGGACATGGAGTTCACTGCTGTTATTTCTCCTCAGTAAGCATTGTTTCATCATTGGTTAGACTAACTGGCTAGAGGAGGAGATGGAGTAGGTAGAAGAGATGCACAGTGTTAAAGAATAGTGCCAACTACGTAAAACATCAGGTGTGTATGTATAGTGCATAGAAACAAAAAAAGAAAAGAAATACACTGAAGTTAGTGAATATATACAGATTGAGAGTATGAGTTATTTTGTTCTCATATTTTTTAATACTAAATGTTTTACAATAAGCAAATGTTACAGAAACAAAAACAAGTTTTAATGTGTCACTTTAAAATTATACAGAGCCAGAGGAAAAACATGAAGTCCAGAATTAATTCTGCAAGTTCTATTATCTACAGATCTGGCAGCACAATCTTTTAATGAAAAGAAGAGGAAGAGGAGTATTTATTTGGGATTCTTCTTGTAAAACAAGGAGACACAAAGTAAGGTTCTAAAAACCATCAGAATTTGGACAGTTAATGTCAAAAGGGATGAATGACTCTATGGAGCCCTGTGTTATAAAACCGTGGTTTGAAAAGCTCGGTATTGAAGGGAGAGGAAGTCAGCAATCAGAAGGAATTACAAAAAAAACTAGAGATGACTGGTCTTGCAATCTTTTATAATCTTGCCTCCACTTACCCAGTGGCACACTTCTTGTATTCATTGCCAGAGAAACCACAGTTGCCAAATCTGTCCCCTTTAGAATTCACATCGATGAAACAATCCCTTGGGGCAGCCTTGGCTTCTGTACCATGAAAGATGATAATAATAAAAGTTATGGCAAGTTAATTCAAAAATAAAAGTATTCCCTGTGACAATCCATACCCCTGGATAAGCTGCCTCAACATCTTTGAAAAAGTTTCAAGCTTTATAGATAAAACATTTTTGTTCCCCATTTTACACTTCACAAAGAATGTAAAATTATCTTTGTAAGTTGACAGGTGGTAACTACACTTATCACGGTGAGCCTTTAATAATATAGATCACTACCAAATCACTGTTACATACCTGAAATCAATGTAATAGTGCATGTTAACTATACTTCAACTTAAAAAAGCTTAGATTGTACTTAAAAGTTATCCTGGGCTCAAACACTCAGGCCCTTAAAATCACTGAAAAAGATGAAACTGTAAATAAATTAAAAACCATGAATTTTCAACATATTCCTTCTCACTGTTCTCGAATACTTATCTACTGCACCCCTGATTAGATCAAGCTAGGAAGGGTTGCTGAAAACACTCCCAGCTCTAATTACTGAGGGGTTTTTAAATTTACCATATATGGATGCTGCATTTAACTATTGTTACTAATCAGATGGACTGACAGCCATGACAGCAGAGTAACGATCCATTCTTGCTTTCTTATATTTTATACATGTATCACTTAATGTTCAATTTTTTCACTAGTTATACATTCCTAAAAATATTTTATTTGGAAATATTTTTAAATCAAAATGTCAGCACTTTCTACTGAATAAAGGAATTTACTCGCCCACTTTACACATCTGATGCTACACTGTTTAGCTTAAAAGAAAATGGACACAGGGGGAAAGGAGTCAGAATTAAAAAGAGGCAGAGATCAATGACATGAAAAATAAATGCAGAAAACCTACTCAGGGTAAATGTCACATGGCCATATCTCTAACAAAGCCCTTCTACAGAACAGAAGTAGCTCTAAAAAGTCCAGATATGTTCCAATGAAAATAAAACTGGGGTCCCTTTAGTCCTAGACTTTTCTACAGGCCTCTGTGAAGATAATGCCTTTGCTAAGTAATAGTATTTACCTCATTAAAATGCCTACTGTAATGACATTTTTAGTTAGAAATAACTTGCCTATTTCTGCAAAATATATCATAAATCAGCAGACATCTGCCACGCTATCCTATGACCTGACTAACATAAATAAGTCCCACTGAATTCCTACAGTCTTTTCTCCTCAGTCCCTATCTGACCCACAGAAGATAAGGAGTACAACAGACAGCAATGAAAGACAGTCAAAGTCGGTCTGGCTTTAGAGAAATCCAGCACTCGCTGGCATACCTTAACTAAAAGAAATCAGCATAAAAACACAAGATTTGGGTTTTCCTACCTCTCCTTTCCTTTCTCTCCCTACCTCCCTTTCTTTCATCTTTCCTTCATGAAGTTTGTATTAACCCCCTACTAGGTGTCCCATATCCTGGGACACTATAATGGGTGCGACTGTAATGGATATAGTTTACCAGTAGCTCCCTGGAGGGAAAAGAGAAAAGCACCTATTGCTAACTCTGTTTTCTCAGTTAAAAACCAGCCTCAGCAAACACATGGCACTCATGTAGTCTGTTCAGATGAATATGGTTTTTTGTTGTTACAGTTCCTAAAAGGGAAGAAGACAAGAACACAGGAGGCCAGTGCAGTTTTTTCATAAACCATCACTGCCAATTATCAACCAAAGCGACTGGCCTACTTCTGCTTAGGAGCAAACATCTCCTTGAGAACCTCAGTCAGCTGAAGCCAAGAAAGGAACCACCAGGAGGCAACACAAAGGACACCAGTGCTGACAGGACACTGCCAGCACCTAACATGTAATCCAAATAAACATGACGAGAGGGCCGCCATGCCTCTACATAAACTCGCCACGGTTTCTCACTAGAACTGCCACATAGCAGCTAATTAACATCCATTTTCTGCTCACTCAAAACTCTTCTCTACAATGTTGCCCCCAAAATCCCCAAAACTAATCTAGTCATGTCATTGCTACACTTAAAATCCATAGTTCTCCAAGGGGAGAAGACGATTCCCCATCACCTAAGGGAAAAACTTTAAACTGGAATCCGTGACCCAAAAAAAAGGTTGAGGTGAGCAACCTAGTAGATACAGTCTGAACTCCATGAGCAGTATTAATTTTCTACTTTTTGCTTATCTGTATGTTCAAAATTTAAAGAAACATATAAGAAAGTATATTTCTATTTAAGAAAGTAAACCAATTACAGTTATTTTCTTTTACTGATGTCTCTGAAAAAATCTGGTGGTGCTGTTCCTCATGCCCATGGTGGCTGAGATCATGTTTTTGCTGCTTTGTGTGTGACCTTAGGCAAATTATTATTTCTCTGAGCTTTAGCTTCCTTACAAAATTGTTTTGAGGCCCAAATTTGGTGTTAAATGTTAATACCTTCTCTTATACAGTCCCTTTCAAATTCTTCATTTTTCTATAAATACTTCCTTAGCATTTTCCATAAAGGATAAGGAATGTGAGAATGCATAAGCTAGTGAAGGACTTTCATATCATTGTGAAACTTATGAACTCCCTAAGCCCAAAGGTTCATAGAAGCAAAAACTAGACTGTACCACCTCAACAAATTCATTTTTAAAATCATAAGCCATAAGCAGATGGTAGACAAAAGATTTGAACACATGTATGGATTTTCCCCTCCTCCTGAAATCCCAGCAAAGAAAACGGACCCTTTTAAAATGCGCACACCCACACAGACAGACGGACTGAGAGGAGGCAGCGCAAACTGTTGGAAGCTGAAAAGCAGACGGTTAAGTGGCAGGTGACAGCATATCCGAGGAGACCCACTCATAAGCTGTCAGTGCAGAACGCTTTGCACACCACAGAATTCCCCAACAAAGAAATGCTGCTAGTATCAGATACCTCTGAATACAGGGGGCAAGGAGGGGCAGGTGGCTAAAATAAAGAAGAAAAGTTTGAAGAAACCAGAAAGAAAGCTAAAGGGAAAAAATTTCCAGAACTAAATGAACAGTTGGCAATTTCGGTGTACCCACCACATACAAAACACAACAGATTCAACAGACCAACATCAAAGCAATATCAGCCTGAAGAGATAATTCTCCAGCCCTTCCGAGCGAGAGAGAGAGAGAGAGAGAGAGAGAAAGAGAGAGAAAGGCCGTATTTGAGCATCAGAAGGGCATCAGACTTCTTAACAGCAACTCTGGAAGCCAAGAATATAAAACAATGACTTCAAAACTGTGAAGAAAAATAATCTGCAATCCAGCCAAACTACCAACCAAGTACTTAGATAAAACAAAAATGTTTCCATTCTTTCAGGGGCCATGGTGACAGGCATGGAGGTCATATGTGGGCTCAGCAACACGGACTCCCACTCAGCACTGCCAGCTTCCCCTGCTGAGGGCCGGTCTGCCGGCAACAGAGACCAACACTGAGCCCCCAGTGTGGACCCTTCCCCGGGGTGATCAGCCGGCTTCCGGGTACAGGTTTATTACACTGGACCCTTTCCATCAAGGAAGGAGCAGTGTTTTGCTCTTGCTGGAACAGGCACTTGCTCTGGATAAGGATAAGTCCAGTCCAGGCAGCACTAGTAATGGCCCAGAGGCTTTAGGAACAAAAGTGTAGTCCACCCAGCAGATGAAGAACCACAACTAGCTGAGGTCCCTGCTGAAAGCAAAGAGTGTATGGAACAGAAAATGAAGAAGCTTGTCAAAAATACCACCTATGGCCACATGACCAATTACAGAAGCAAGGATTTTAATTGTCATGAATATTTCTTCTATATGAATATATTTATTATGAATTTATTATGAGTATATAATCTATTTTATTATGAATATATTTGATTTATATATTATGAATATATCCTTATTTTCTTCCTTCTCTTATTCCCTTATTATGTAACATAAGATGTACTGACCTTATACGATAGTGTAAGTATGGTTAATTTTATATCCTAGCATTCAAGTTGGGAGTTACCAAGGAAAAGAACATTACTTAAGAACCTCACTCATGGCTGTACACAGGATAGCTGTATCATGTTAAATGAATTATGATCTTGTTATTTTCTTCTTTGGAGATCAAGTGAGGTTTAAGGAGATGCATACAGTGCCAAGTTGACAAGAGGTATCAATCAGACGTTCCCAAGGCCCCTTGTTGGGCTCAACTAATTTGCTATAGTGGCTCACATAACGCAGAGAAACATTTTACCTACTGGATTACCAGTTTATTATAAAAGGATATAACTTGGGAACAGACAGACAGAAGAAGTGCAGAGGGTGAGGTCTGGGGAAAGGCATGGAGCGTCCATGCCCTCTCTAAGCACAACCCTCCCCGCACATCCCCCGGTGTTCACCGAGCCAGAAGCTCTCAAACCCTGTCCTTTTGAGTTTTCATGGAGGCCTCATTACATAGGCAGAATTGATTAAATCACTGAGCGTTGGTGACCACCTCAGTCCCCAAGCCCTCTCCCCCCTCCCCGGGGGATAAGGGCACTAAAAGTTCCAACCCTAATAACACGGTTGGTTCTCCAGGCGGCCAAGCCCCATCCTTCCGTGACCTGGGGGCTTTCCAAAAGTCCCCTCATGAACAAAAGACACTTTTATGGCTTTCAGCACGTAGGAAATTCCAAGGGTTTTTGAAGGTAGAGCAAAGATTAAATATATCTTTCCAATTATAAATTAATATTGCAATGTCAGCACTGCTCCAGCTAAAATTACAATGAATCCACATTAAGAGGACAGAGAGGAAAAGATCGTGAGTATGACAGGAGCCAACAAGAGCCAAGAGAAGAGATGGAAAGAAACCAGGCTATCTTCTTTCACAGGGAGAAACTAACAGTTAATGCCTAGAATGGAAAAATCACAAAGTAGCATTACCTCCAGTAAGTGACAAAGTGATAAATTAGAAAACGTAAAAGTGATTTCCTCAAAGGAGGAGGAGATTAGGTGCGAGGACACTTTGTTTTTTCATAAAACCTTGTAAATAATTTGGCTCTTTTATCTATGTGTATGTTTTACTTTGATAACAATGAAAACTTTAAGAGGAATTAAAAACATCCTAAATATCTCTATGAGGATGGATCCCATTTACATAACGGAGTCCTCCAAAGCAGTATGATCTCAATGTATTGATACAGACAGATCTCAAACACATTTTGAGAGAACAATGAAAATAGCAGACACACACATATACCCCATACTATTTATATGAAATTTCTAAAACCAGAACATGACACTGTACAAATACAAGTATAATGCTGATCATATACATAAGATAAAGAGATGATAAAGACAAAAAGCAAAAGCAAAAATCATCAAATACATTTGGACATACTGAAATCATGACCCACGATTGCCTGTGGAGAAGGAAGGAGGGAAATATGATAGCAGAGAGGAAAGAAAAGAACTTTGATTGTATCAGTAAAGTTTTCTTTCCATTTTAACAAAAACCAAAAGCAAAATACATAAATAAAATCAAAGCAATCAATTATAAATGAAATATCTTACTTGAGCCAAAGATGACTTGACACTGAGCATCATAATATTGGCACATGCCATTGTAACAATAGGCCTTGTCATTCTGGCAAGGATGTCCATTCTGAATAAAAACATCGGGCTGACAAAACTGAGAAGAACCATTGCAGTATTCTGGAAGATCACATTCATTGGTTTTTCCTCGGCATAAAGTACCTCCTGGAAGGAACTATGGCAATAAGAGTCAAATTAAACAGGAATATCAGGACAGTTCCAACAAATTAATCAAATAAACAAGGAAAGATTGGATAACCCAATAGAAAAAAATGAACAAAGGGCAATAAAAGGCAATTCATAAAAGTCACAAAATAAAATGAAAAAAAGCTCACTGAAAACCAAAAGAAACGCAATCAAAATAAAATTTAAAAGCACTTTACAGCTACCAAACTAACCAGGATTGTAACACTTGCTGGCAAGCAATGTTAGCAAGAGGACACAAGCATTTAATTATACTTTAGGCACAAGTATACGCTGGCACATTTGTGTGATTTATATAAAAAGTACGCACAAATTTTCATATGCATACTCTGTCCCAACAATTCCACTTATAAACAAATTTTGGGAGCTATCCAAATGTCTATCATTTGATAACTAGATTTTAAAAATCAAGGTATAACCATAGAAAGGAGTACTAATATATAACCAGGTGGAACTGCATGAATGGATAAAATCCATGGTATCTTACTGAAAAAAGCAGGTAGTAAAAATATTTGTTTAAGTGTTTACCCACTAATGCACACACATATACACACACACACACGCACACACAAAACCAAGAAGGTAGAGCAAAGATTAAATATATCTTTCCAATTATAAATTAATATTGCAATGTCAGCACTGCTCCAGCTAAAATTACAATGAATCCACATTAAGAGGACAGAGAGGAAAAGATCGTGAGTATGACAGGAGCCAACAAGAGCCAAGAGAAGAGATGGAAAGAAACCAGGCTATCTTCTTTCACAGGGAGAAACTAACAGTTAATGCCTAGAATGGAAAAATCACAAAGTAGCATTACCTCCAGTAAGTGACAAAGTGATAAATTAGAAAACGTAAAAGTGATTTCCTCAAAGGAGGAGGAGATTAGGTGCGAGGACACTTTGTTTTTTCATAAAACCTTGTAAATAATTTGGCTCTTTTATCTATGTGTATGTTTTACTTTGATAACAATGAAAACTTTAAGAGGAATTAAAAACATCCTAAATATCTCTATGAGGATGGATCCCATTTACATAACGGAGTCCTCCAAAGCAGTATGATCTCAATGTATTGATACAGACAGATCTCAAACACATTTTGAGAGAACAATGAAAATAGCAGACACACACATATACCCCATACTATTTATATGAAATTTCTAAAACCAGAACATGACACTGTACAAATACAAGTATAATGCTGATCATATACATAAGATAAAGAGATGATAAAGACAAAAAGCAAAAGCAAAAATCATCAAATACATTTGGACATACTGAAATCATGACCCACGATTGCCTGTGGAGAAGGAAGGAGGGAAATATGATAGCAGAGAGGAAAGAAAAGAACTTTGATTGTATCAGTAAAGTTTTCTTTCCATTTTAACAAAAACCAAAAGCAAAATACATAAATAAAATCAAAGCAATCAATTATAAATGAAATATCTTACTTGAGCCAAAGATGACTTGACACTGAGCATCATAATATTGGCACATGCCATTGTAACAATAGGCCTTGTCATTCTGGCAAGGATGTCCATTCTGAATAAAAACATCGGGCTGACAAAACTGAGAAGAACCATTGCAGTATTCTGGAAGATCACATTCATTGGTTTTTCCTCGGCATAAAGTACCTCCTGGAAGGAACTATGGCAATAAGAGTCAAATTAAACAGGAATATCAGGACAGTTCCAACAAATTAATCAAATAAACAAGGAAAGATTGGATAACCCAATAGAAAAAAATGAACAAAGGGCAATAAAAGGCAATTCATAAAAGTCACAAAATAAAATGAAAAAAAGCTCACTGAAAACCAAAAGAAACGCAATCAAAATAAAATTTAAAAGCACTTTACAGCTACCAAACTAACCAGGATTGTAACACTTGCTGGCAAGCAATGTTAGCAAGAGGACACAAGCATTTAATTATACTTTAGGCACAAGTATACGCTGGCACATTTGTGTGATTTATATAAAAAGTACGCACAAATTTTCATATGCATACTCTGTCCCAACAATTCCACTTATAAACAAATTTTGGGAGCTATCCAAATGTCTATCATTTGATAACTAGATTTTAAAAATCAAGGTATAACCATAGAAAGGAGTACTAATATATAACCAGGTGGAACTGCATGAATGGATAAAATCCATGGTATCTTACTGAAAAAAGCAGGTAGTAAAAATATTTGTTTAAGTGTTTACCCACTAATGCACACACATATACACACACACACACGCACACACAAAACCATCCACATTTGTATAAAAGTAAATATGTTACTAGCAAATTATCAACAATGGCTACCTAAGGAGGGTAAAATGAGAGAGTCCTTTCACTGTCTATTTTCTATACTTTGGTATTGCTGAATTATCTCTTTAAAAAACATAGATTACTCTAAACATCAGAGAAAGAAATGTTTGTACTTAGTCTCACTAGACTATTTGTTGTAAATGAATGAGTCAAAATTGCAAACAAGTGGCATAAAACTTTTCCTATACTGAGGTGATAAAAACAGTGCTTGCTTACAGATCAAAGAAAATAAATTTTGATATGTACATATTTTTATTTTTTCTAGTTTTTTCCCCAAACAGTGAGGAATTTCTTACCCAGCAGTCTTTACAACAGTCACCATATGCACATTCAGCAAATGATTTAAGTTTGCAAGTGCTTAGTTCACAACAAGGGTCCAGTTCACACTCCTGTGAAGAGAAAGTGACTGTCAACTAAAGAAATGATTGATTGTCATCAATATTCATTAATAGAATTCTTTTCTTAGACCTAAATTATTTCTTTCTAACCTGGCTATAGCAGTGACTCTCTAGAAACAATCACTGATGACCCTTCTGTATTTATTAGCAACTCTTTAACTACAACTGTTCAGGGATCAATATATTTCAAAGGGCCAAAAATCATAGACTATGTCTTAGTCTGCTGAGACTGCCAGAACAAGATACCAGAGACTGGTAGCTTAAATTATGGAAATTTATTATCTCACAGTTCCAGAGGCTAGAGGTCCAAGATCAAAGTTCCAGCCAATTCAGTGTCTGGTGAGGACTCTCTTACTGGCTTGCAGACAGCTGCCTTCTAACTGTGTGCTCACATGACCTCCCTTGGTGTGTGTGTTCAGAAAGAGCAAGCAAGCTCTCTGGTGTGTCTTCTTAAAAGGACACTAATTCTATCAAATCAGGACCCCACCCTATGACCTCATTTAACTTTAATTACTTCCCTAGAGATCCTATCTCCAAATAGAGCTACACTGAGAGTTAGAACTTCAACATATGAATTTTGGGGGAATACAAACATGCAGTCCATAACAGTTTGTTTAATGATCACAGGGAATTAAACATCTATGAATGTATTTCTCTTCATTCTCAGGGTCTGATTTCTCTACTGGGTGGGTCCTCACTCTATGCAGACACTCTTTTTACCTTGCTTGGCTTTCTCTAACTCCACTTTGAGCCCCATGGCTCCCCACCCTCTGAACTTCCCACCAACAGGGACATCTACTCTCCCATGTTCCAATTAATGTCTGCAGATCTCAATTGTTTAGGATGGGAAACAGCAGAGGAAGAGGATAGGAGAGAAGGGGACAGGAGAAATAAGCCTTCTTTAACTTTTGAAGTCTGTTTTTCCTATGTATATAATCCTGTTGATAGTTTTTTTCCTTTCAGAACTGCAAATTTGTTCTTCTATTGTCGCTGGCTGTTACAGCTTCATGGAAGAAATTGGTACCATTCATATTTTGCTTCCCTATTTTCTATTAGCTTCTTTCAGTATTTTCTCTTTATATCAATACTTTGATTACAATGCACCTCAGTGAATTTTCTTTGTAATGATTCTGATTTGGGTTCACTTAGTGTTTTGGAATTTTAAGTCAGTTTTTCCCTAACTTTGGGAACTTTTTGGTCATTATTTCTCTTATTATTTTTCCTCTTTCATTCTCAGTTTCTTCCTAGGATTTCACTTACAGTTACATTAGACAATTTGTTACAACCTACATGTCCCTGATGCTCTGTTCATGTTTCTTTAATTTTTTCTATTTGTTCTTTAGATTATTTTTTTTGATCTGCTTCATAGTCATTGACTCCATTTTCTGCCATCTTAGTCTGTCATTAATTCTACCCAAAGAATCTTTCACTTAATGGATTTTTTTAGTTCTATAATGTACATCTGGTTATTAGTTTACATTTCTCTCTTATCTGTTTAGTCATAAAGACCATATTTTTCTTTAATTCCATAGTGATTAATAGTGGACTACTATTTATAGCAGCTTTATTCATGATAGCAAAATGTTAGAAATAACCCAAATGTCCTTTAATGAGTGAATGCTTAAACAAACTCTGCATGGTTGAAAAATGGTTAAAGAAAGTCTAGACAGGACCTCTGGGCTCATGGAAATGCCAACAACTATTCTGCAATGACATCCATGCAGTGGAACACTACTCAACAATAAAAAAGGAATATTAACACATGCAATAACCTAGATTGACCTCAAAAGCATTATGCTTAGTAAAAAATGAGTCAGTCTCAAAAGATTACATATTGTTGATTCTTTTTATGTAGTGTTGTAGAAATGGCAAAACTGCAGATGGACAACAGATTTAAAGGTAGCCAGGGGCACGGAGAAGGTCTGGAGATGGGTGGGTGTGAATACAAAGAGGTAGCAGGAGGGAGGTCTCTTGTGGTACAAATCATGTACCTAATAAAGGACTTGTCTCTAGAATATATTAAGTACTCTCAACTCAGTACTAAAACAATTTTTTAAATGGAGATAAAAGTTGCACAAACAGCTCACCAAAGATATATACAGATGATAAAGAAGCGCATGAAAACATGCTCAGTATCACTAGTCATTAGGAAAATGCAAATTAAACCTCAATGAGGAATCGCTTCACACCTACAGTTGAATAAGACTAACCATATGAATTGTTGGTGAGGACATGAAAGAACTAGAAATCTCACACACTGATAGTGGGTATGTAAAATGGTACAACCACTCTGGAAGACAGTATGAATGTTTCTTGGAAAGTTAAATACATCCGCCATATGACCCAGTCATTCCACTCCTAGGTATTTACCCAAGAGAAATGAAAATACAAGTCCATTCAGAGGCTTGCATATGAAGGTTCACAGCAGCTTTATGTGTACTGGCCAAAACCTGCAAAGATCCCAAATATCCATCAACAGATGAAAAGATAAACTGTAGTATATCCATACTACTCAATGATAAACCACAATAAAAAGGATGGAACTACTCAACACAGTAGCAACGTCAATGAATCTCAAAATAATTTTTGAGTGAATGAAGTTAGCCAAAAGTCATTCCATTTATATGAAATCCTAGAAAATACACACTAATATATAATGGTGTGACAGCCTAAGGGGGATGGGGGAACAAAAAGGGTAGGAAGAAGGCACTACCAAGAGTCATAAAAATCTTTCTGGGATGATGACATGCTTACTATCTTGACTGTGGCAATGGTTTTACCTATGTATACATGTGTCAAAACCTAGCAATTTGTATGCTTGAAATATGTGCAGTTTATGGATGACCAAGTGTTCACAATGACATATTTCTTTTTATTCGCTTTGGCTTGACCAAACTTTAGTAAGGCTCCTCTCTTACCTATAGGCCCCTGAACTCTGCTTATCCTCACAAAAAAAAAGTGGGACATGCCCTCCTCTGCTTATCAGAATGGTCTGGAAATGGGCTGACTATAGCAGGACACTTTCCTTTCAGACCTCACCAGTCATTTCCCCTTGCTGATTCAGCTTTCCCTTAAAAAATTCTGCTTACCTCTGCTTGCCCCGACCTTTACCCTTTAAAATAAAATATCTCCTATTTGATTCTGAGTCATTTCCAGATTCCTGAGATCAGAGTGTTCTCCCTATTGCAATAGTCTTTCTTGTGGGTAAAGCCTTTCCTTATTATGTTCATATTTGGTTGGGGGAGGGGGATGACGGGGTGGGAGGGAGGGCAGAGGGAGGTTACATTGAATTCAATCATACTTCAATTAAGCTGTTAATTTTTTTTTTCAGGAACACTGTGCAAGATAGACAGATGGCTTCATAACAGAAAAGAGAATTAGGAAATAGACTACATGTAGGAATTTTGCTTTTAAATGGTTTTGCAACACCTGATCATTAGTGAACAGAACTTAATTCCCTAACTCACTCCACAAATATGACCCCCTTCACTTAAAGAGCTCACATAAAAATTTTAAATTAAAGAAAATGCTAGAATATATTACAGGGGGCTATGATGACGATCTTGAAACAGGAATATAAAAAGCCTGGTTAAAAAACAAAATTCAGGAAGATTTCAGAAAAAATTGATAAATTTACCTTCATTTAAATTCCAAATTTCAATATAATAAAATGTATCATATGAAAAGCTAAATGCCATGAGTGAACTCTAATGTAAACTACAGACTTTGGGTGATAATGATGTGTCAAAGGGTAAGTGTCCCTGTCCTGCAGCATGTGGACAACAGGGGAGGCTGAGGTGGAGTAGGGGAGCAGGGGTCTATGGGAACTCTCGGGACATTCCATGCAATTTTGCTGTGACCCTAAAACAGCTCTAAAAGATCAATTTAATCAATTTTTTAAAAGCTAAATTGAAAGCTACAGCAGAGGGGAAATAACTGAACACAGACAACAAAGGACTATCCCCATAATAATAAGAGTTCCTAAAAATCAATTTAAAAGAAGAATAACCCAACAGAAAAATTGACAAGGCATATAAAAGTCATTTGTAGAAAATCACTATGCATATGGTCTATAAGCATATGAAAAGATATAAACAAAAACTATCTTCTTATTTTTCTCCCATCAGAATTAAGCAAACATTTATTACCCTGTGCAGGCAAGACTGTGAGGCACTGAACACCACGATACATTGTTGCTGGAAGTACAAACTGACAAGGCCTTTTTATAGGAAGTTTAATAGCTTCTAATAAAATTTAAACACTTTTCAATTCAGTAATTCTACCTTTATTTAATTATCTTAGAGGAATATTTGTTTACATACACATGGGGCATGTACAAGAACATACTGTTTGCAACAGAAAAATACTAACTACAGTTAGTAAATGTCCATTAATGACAGTATGGTTGTACATCCTTACATCAGAATATTAATCAGCAGATTAAAGGATTGTGTCTACGTCATGGAATGATATAAAAGTGTCCAAGATATATCAGTAAGGAAAAAGAAAATTTCTGCACATATTTTAAGTCTGACTTCATTTATGTAAAAGGACAAAATCCAAGACAAACCTGGCTATTTACAAATATATATACTGTATACTTGTTTATAACTGTATAGAATGAAGCTGAAAAAGAAATACATTAAACTTGTAAGATTGAGTACTACTGCAGAAGGAAGTGAAAAAAAAAATCCTTCGGGGAAATAAATCTATGAAAGGGGAATTTTGCTTACATTTACTTTTGAAACTTTTATAGCAAAAAAAAACAAAACAAAAAGCCTGTGCTATTTCAGGAGGACAGGGGCAATTTTTTTTAAAGAGCAGTTTTGTCATGTGAAAGTTCAAGAAGCAAACATAGACTATTTCAATAAGTTTGATAATAAAGTACACAGTCTGGAGAAAGCAAAACATACAAAACATTTTAAGGAGAAAGATGAAACTACCTAGATAGAAAAAGAGCTCTGTCATAATACCAGTTTAACATTAATTCAAAATTGAACATAACCTTGTGAGGCCTTATGTTCCTCATTTGAAAATGAGAATATAAAAAATATCAATCTCTTAAGGTTACTGTGAGGATTCCATCATGTAAAACATTTAGCAGAAGCTCCTGATGTGCAGCAATAGTGCAATGAAGGCTCATTACAAGTTCATCATGAAATATGTGCTGCTTTTCTAGAATGCCAAGTCATCTGGCAAAAGCCGGGGTGGTCAGGTAAGGTTGAAGCAGAGGCACTTATGGAAAAGTAAAGTAAAGCTTACGGTAAAGCTTATACACAAACAAATTTGTTGGAAATTTTCTGCAAGGCCTAAGAGGAAAGGACTTAAGCAGGCTATTACGTGAGGGAGAATGGCTAAGAGACAGAGTAATAATAATAAAGGTGGGCATGGGCAATAAGTGCGGGTCTCAGGTCTGATAATACCAGAGATCAGAAGGCAAACTGAAGGTTAATAAGGGGAGAAAGCTAATTTAAGTGGCAATAATTTTGTTAATGAAGGACTCTGGGGAATGGGCGACCTTCAATTTATTTTTAAAATGAGTCCAACTGAATAAATATTTCTACAATGGCAGTGCCAGAATAGTGAAAGCTTCTAAGTAAAGAGCCAACTAAAAAACTAATTCATTCTTTAAAGAAAATAAATGACCTAATAACTATAACAGAAATGGCAGAGCAGCAAAAAATAGAAGAATAAACCTGGCACTTCCTGGACACCAAAACAGATGACATAGCTATGATCTGGGAAGGAAGAGGTGACCAATCCCAGGAACATATTCCCACAGGCAAAATGCAAAGTCTCAGTTTGCCCTAAATTTTATTTTCGCTCCTATGCCTGAGTTGCCCAAAGCAAGCTATTTTGTTTTTTGCAAATCCCAAGGTAATTTCGCAAAGCAAAAATAAAAAAAAATTTGATAAACTGACCTTTGGAGTACCACAGTCACACTCTTCCCCAGCGTCCACCAATTTATTACCACAGAAAGGAGCGCTATAGGCTTCATCAGGCTTTGGAATATTAAGAAGGCAGTTTCCTCCTCTATTTAAAGTTAACTTCTCAAAGTCCTCTGCACTGCAACTGCTAAAGTTTCTGGAACCTCTACAATAAACATTAAGAAAAGATCTTATGTCATAGCCATGATTCATCTTAGAAATTTTAAGTCATGTCTTCAACAAGAAGTGAATGTTTAAAAGGGCAGAAAATAAGCTAACAAAAATCGAGAGAAATGAGAATTAAGTCTATTTCTAATACATGTAGAACACTCTGTCAGTTACTACATAATAAATCACTCTTTTGGTTACAATATTATAACATGCTTAATATATAAAAGGGCTTTTCTGTATCAATAAGAACATCCCATAAACAAATGAGATAAGGTCATAAACAATTGACCAGAAAAAAACATGTGAAAAACTTCAAACTGCAGAAATGAACAAAGAATGGTCCAATCTTTTAGAGGGATAACTGTGTGTATGTGTACATATGGTAAGTACTCTGAAAATGTATTTTCCTTTTGATCCAGCAATTTCATCTCTAAGATTTTTTTCCTATAGAAAAAAATTTAAACAATCTAGTTCCTTTATAAATACTAGTGATATTTATCTCCCTTTCCTTTTTTTTTAAACACTGAAAGTAAATTATTTTTAGTCAGTATCTCCATGAAAAAAATCCTTCCGAACATATCGTACACATTAAAACATAAAATCGTTAAGTCTCATCAACAGAAGAAACCTTAAAAATGATCGAGTTCTATCTAGAATTAAGTTAAATTTATCTTCTGTAAGGTAGAAGTTCTTTAAATATTGGAAACTAGCTATGTTTCCCCAGTCTTTTTTCACTCTACAGGATAACATTCTAAGGTTCTCTCACTGTGGCTTATTGGCAACCACAGGTAAATAATAAATAACCCAACGGGCAATTCCAGTGAGGACACACTACAGGCATCAAGAAGCAGAATGCACAGGGCAGGATTTCAGCTACAGGTGGAGGTTTAAATGCCTTTTATGATCATTCCCAAGAATCAAAGTTAATACTTGGAAGGCTAGATTGGATCTTAGAAAATATCCACCCTAGGCTGCCCATGTGAGATCTATACAAATGCAATTTTGATGTGTTCTACATGTTGTTGGGTTTACTTTTAGTTACTCTACTCAATAACTATAAAATAGTTTCAGATAATCTCACTGGCTACCTTTACTTTTGAAGATCAATGGGAAACATAAGCATATACACACCAAGGATCTTTGAGAAATCCAAGTCATATTTATCAGAGGAATTGGTGCCCTGAAAGAATCTCTTCTTTGTCGGTTTGAGCCAAAGGTCCAAAAGCACAGTGAGAATGAAAATCGTGCTGCATCACAGCTGTCAGGGAGGCGCCCCTATCTGTGCCAGGCCTTTTGTACATCCAAGGAATCTGAGAAACGGATCCTTTCTGTGAGATCTTGTGCCCAGGATACACACATTACACTCTTCTTTACCACTGGCCCAAAGTATCCAGGGAAGCAAACAGACCTGGCTCTTGGCTCATGGAAATGGAAAGCCGTCTGCTTAGACATTTTGGTACTGTTACCTACCATTTCACAAAAAGGTCTTTGAATGTGGGACACTGAAGGATTTTAACAGATTGACCAGCAGAAAACGAACTGAGAAAGAACATGAAAAGTCAATTGTCTATAACAAAAGGACCAAAAATATTTTGACTCACATGGGAAAGATCCATTGAAAATAACAAAACAACTTGTTTTCCATATTCTTCTTCTCACTACTTTCTGAATAGGAATGTTGTGAGTCATTTTGTACAGTATCATTTATTCAACAAATATTTGTTGAACAATTATTATGTAAAAGGCACTTTTCTTTGTGCAAGGGGATAAAACAGTGAACAAAGCAGACAAAAAAACCCCACCCCGGGAAGGTGACCTTCTAGGGAGTGAGACAGACATTAAGTCAGCAAATTCGCTAGTGCTGCAGATGGTAAGTGCCATGGGGGGGTGAGGGTGAGAAGGTGCAGAGAAGGACCTGTGCAGGGGGAGGAGCAGCGGCAGCTTTAAAAGTGCAGTCAGGACAGGTACTTCACATGCTGAGACACCCGGATCTAATAGAGGAAGAGCATTACACGGAGGAGGAACAGCAGGTGCAGGATCTCTGAGGTAGGAGGTGGCCTGGCATGTTTAAGGAACAGTAAGAAAGCCAGAGGGGCTGGAGTGTGGACTGAGGTGATAAGGGAACGAGTAATGAGAGACACAGCCAGGGGAGGTGGGAACAGACCTTGTAGGAGCTTGAGTTTTCACTATGAGAGAAATGAGGAGATCTGGGTGGAGGGATGACACAACGCAAAGTACTGAGCAGGCGCAGCATGACTTGACTCATGTTTTGATGGGACCGCCATGGCTGCTCTGTTAAGCAGGAAGACCATACAGGAGGGAAGATCCACTCAAGAGATGATGATGCATGGGCATGACACCAGTGAAAGCAGGAACAAGTGTTTGGATTATTTATATGTTTTAAGCAAACAGCCCTTAAAATGAAGAATGGGAGGAAAAAAGAAAGAAGTCACGGACAACTCTGACGTTTCTGTGCTGAGCTGTTAGAAGGAAGGAGTTACCATTAACTGATACGGGGAAGACGGTGGGTAGAGCAGATTTCAGGAAGGATAACTGGATTTGCAATCTAATGGAAATATCCAACTAGTAGTATGTAGTAGATATCTGATAAACAATGGCAATTTGTTTCAATTCAAATGGAGGTTTATAATTGTTTTTAGCTTCCTACTGTTTATCTTTGTGTGGTTAGTACATTGCCTGCCAATAGTACACACATCCAGTAATGCTTTTGGTAGGAACACATTAACCAATCAATAGCCATAGGAATTGTGCAAGTATAGGTACAGTCCTACACCAGAGACCCTAATTTTAATCTACACAAAGTCCACCACTTTTGAAAAGGTTATTTTTGACATAAGCTTGTTATTTAGAAATTGGAACACATTGTCTCATAGAAATAATGTTTAAAATGTTTGATCCTAAAGCAATCTACCAAAAAAATTTGTTTCACCCACAATGAAGTTTAGTACTGAAAAGGATAACAAAATCATATGTACCTCTGGTGCCTTTTAGCAGTTGGAGATAGTACCAAACATCTCTATGTTGGCCTTCAGTAACATGTTAGAGGCTACAGTGAAGATTCTTCTCCTGGTCACCCCTGGATGACAGTATTAACTAGAATGATCCTTCTCCTGACCCTTGGCTGGAATAGTAACTAAAGTACTCCTATTCTCTACCTATCACATCTGGGCACAGGATATTAATTTAAAGCATCTCCTCATCTCTTTATTCACATCTACGTAAATTTTCAAAACTACTTCAAAAGGGGAGAGATGCATCTGACAATGATGGAAATGGTCTACCAGGATATACAAGTAACAAACAATTGGAATGTGAAATTAAAAGCACAATACCACTTACGCTACCAAAAACAAAAACAAACAAAAAAGAAATACTTAGGTATAAATCTAACAAAATATGTACAATATCTATCTGAGGCAAACTATAAAACTCTGATTAACAAAATACAAACAAAATCCAAATAAATGAAAAGCTATTCCATGTTTAAGGATAAGAAGACTCAATATTTCAAAGATGACAGTTCTTCCCAACTCACTCTACAGATTCAATGCAATCCCAATCAAAATCTCAGCAGATTATTTTGGTGGGTATGAACAAATTGTTTCTAATGTTTAAATGGAAAGGCAAAAAACCCAGAAGAACCAACAAAATACTGAAAGAAAAGAACAAAGTTGGAAGACTGACACTACCGGACTTCAAAGCTTACCATAAAGCTATAATAATCACAACAGGTGGCACTGGCAAAAGGGCACACAAATAGATCAGTGGAAGAAAATACAAGTCCAGAAATAAAGCCACACAAATATAGTCAACCAATCTTGGGCAAAGGAACAAAGGCAATCTGATAAAGGATAGAATTTTTAACAAATGGTACTAGAACAACTGGACATGCACATGTGAAAAAAAAATCAACTAAAACACAGACCTTACATCCTTCACATATTAACTTCAGGTGGATCAGACATAAATGTAAAATCCAAAACTATAAACTCTTGAAGATAAAAAAGGACAAAATCTAGGTGACCTTGAATTTGGCTTTCTAGGTACAACACCAAATACATAAACTCTTCACCAAACTAATCTGGATAGAGATTTAACACAATAGCAATCAAAACCCCAGTAAGACTTTGTGGAATGGGACAAGCTAATTCTAAAATGTACACGAGAAAGCTATCAACAGCCAAGACACTCTTAAACAAGGAGGTCAAAGTAGGATAACTTCCTTTAGATGACCTGTTATAAAGCTGTGAAAATCAGGAACCTATAGTACTGACACAAACACAGCAAACAAATTAAATAGAAGAGGTCAGAAGTAGACATGTATTTGTGAACACTTCATTTATGACAAAAGTGACACTGCCAAGTAGCAATGAGTGTCATTTTAACAAATGATGACCAATTCAACATATTCATATTGGAGAAAATCTGACCTCTACCTTACACAATGCACAGATGAGAATTCCTAATGAATTATAGACCTCAATATGCAAGTCAAAATAGATGAAGAGTTTGGAAACACTACAGAATAATATCTCTGTGACATCAAAGTTGGGGAACAATTTCTTAAATGAGACACAAAAAGCAACAGTCATAAAGGAATAAACTGATATACATTACAATTGCAAATGAAGGATTTTTCACTAAAAAGTCACCAAAAATTTTACAAAGAACTTCTGCAAATTGATAGAGAGAACCCAATAGAAAAAAGTGGGGGGAAACTGAACAGTATCTTCACAAAAAAGGAAATCCGAATGGCCATGACAGGTGATCATCCCATAACAGATGGTCTGATCTAATTTAATCTCATTAGTAGTCAGGGAAATGCACAATAAAATACCACTGTATACCCAAGTCGTTAGCTAACGGTTAACATGGATGATATCAATTGCCGGTGAGGTATGCAGTGAGCATTCATTGTACTCCCAACCCTCAACCTCCAGGGAGTGGGAGGGGCTAGCGGTTGAATCAGCCAAT